TCTCTTCTCTTCTCTTCTCTTCTCTTCTCTTCTCTCTCCTCTTCTCTTCTCTTCTCTCTTCTCTCTTCTCTCCAAAATAGCTCAAAATTGCCAAGTGCTTTCAAGTGCAGTAATTCTGACTTAATGAAACTGTTCTATTTTCAGCTAACTCATTTACTGCAGATTAATAAAAGACTTGAGGAGCAGATGAATCGCTGCCTCTGGTTCCAGCAGCTGTCAGTTGTTTTATCACTGCTATCAGTTACTGTTGCTGCCTTCTGCTTCTACCTGGCATCTGCCCAGAGAAGCTAAAAAGAATTGCTGTGCCCTGGATGTGCTGCTGCCTATCATGGCTCGTTGGAGTCAAAAAGATTGCAGTGCTGCACTTGGATTCTGGAACTGCCAAAATGAGGTTTGTGAGCCTACAGCAATGAACAAGAAACAGTTTACTGGGGAAAAAAAAAAAAAAGACAGAAGAAATGAATGACCAGCAAAAAAAAATTACTGAAATTATTGTCTAAGTTGACACTTACACTAGGGCATGAGGAAGATGTTGAAGCTAGGACCTATTTTTACTGTACAACTCAATAAAAGCTACCGAACTGGAAGGAGGAAACCAAATACAACATTATTTAAGACTGTTGTGCTTTTTTTTTCTCTATTCAACTGCTTTAGATACAATATTTCATTATTTTTTGTCATATTCATTCTTACATTCTGATTCACTCCCATAGAAGATGCAAGCAGTCAAATTAATGTATTCCAAGGTTAATCTGTTCATTCCAGGAAAATTTACAGAAATTATGTGGTACAGGTGGATTTTTTTATGTAATCAGTGTATGTATATACACATAAATGAAGATATTCGTTGTCAGTAATTACTTTGATAATTCAGACTCATTGTTCTCATTGGCTCACATTTCTTACTGAGTAACACGCACAAAACAAGACACTATTCCTGTTCTCTTTTTTTTTTTTTGAAAGCAACTTGTATTCAAATTACAGAGGGAGTGTGGGAGCTGACTTCTTTACTGTGATGGCCTATTATTGGTTCATAAAAAGGCTGTTAAATAATCAGTGTAAGAACTTACTCTGAGCTGTGCAATACAGTTAAATTACATATGAAATTATGGAAAAAAGGCAAATCAAATCAGGAAGATTAAATACACTTGAAGACAGCATAAAAGTATTATATCTGGCATTTCACAGAAATTGTTGTGGAAATGGTGCATAAAGCTAGAAAGAACTTTGCTAACAAGGATTCTTTGTACTCATTGCTGTAAATATGTATATTAAAATGATGAAAACTTAAAAGGAGACTGATGGCATCTTTCATACATTTAAAATTTTCACTCTTTAGGAGATTTAAAATAATTATGATGCTTGAATTATTTTTTTGCTACAAATTTGCTTTGTAACAGATTTATTGGTTTTGTCTGCTGACTTCAATAGATGAGAAGTGATTATTAAGGAAAAATAAAGGTCATACTCTGCTTCTGTCTTTTTGCTTACAGTGTGTTGGGGATGTAGGATCATTCCAAGAAAACAAAAAAGGGCAGTTTAAAATAATAAACTGATTAACTAATAAAGCCAGCAATATGATTACTAAAAAAATGCCATGTACAAAGCAAGCTGCAGAAAAGTTTGGTGCACAGTCTTCTGTCCTCTCTTAATTTATACAATGGTTTATAGCATATGCTTTTTCTTGATTTTTCACTAATCTCATTTCTGCCTGTTGTTTATCAGTATTTTATATTTCTAATGATTTGGCAATTTATATTGTTAACTGCTTATAATGAAGCTGTTACTTGGGTTCTTTTTTATGTGCATGCAACTCAAATGCTTTGCTTACAATGAAATGGATTGTTGTCTTAGTGAGAAAAATAACAAACTAATTTGTAACCTAAAGATAACATAACAATAACCATGCTATTAAAATGTCAATTCCTTAATTTGGGTGGATTGAATAGCACTTTACTGTAAAATTGCCAGAAATATATTCTTAGAGTCTTTGCCAATATGAATATTTTAATGTTTTTGGTGCTTTCATATATTTTCAGTATTTTATTACTTATTTTATTATTGGTATTTTCTTTGTATGAATCAGATGAACATCTTTTCTATTTTAATATATTTTAGAAAAATACAGTTAAAAATAAATATGAGGAAATACATAGTCTTGAATGTTTAGTCTTTTAAAGATAGCTGCATCTCCTCAGGTTTTTGCTTTCTAGTTAGTCTGCAGATACTTCACATGGGAGGGGTCAATATGGTGATGACCTGATATGATGTCTGTTATGGAGCAGAAGTTTTGGTGGCACCTGTCAGACAAATGCGAAATAGGTGACAATGGCTTTTGGAACAGAATATCTGACATAATCACATGGACACGATACTGGGATGTCAGTGGTACCATGGCACAAGGGATGCAAGTCCACACAAAGTGACAGTAGTGGCTTTTAACGTGACCTGGACAATAGTCAATTTGTATTTTTCTTCTTCAAGAACATCATTCATTCTATCATCACAGAATATTTTCCCAGTATTTTCAAAGCTTTCAGTTGTTAGTAGTTTCAGATTTTGTGTGACAGCCCTTGGAAATGGGTCTCACTGTGGAAAGTTTAGTGCTTAACACACACTGAAGTTACAGAGTAATGTGATTTGATACCCAATATCAAGAGAAGAAACAAAAGAAGCAATTATTTTTTTCACATTATGGGAAACTCGGTTTATAAACCTGGGGCATTTTAGAACTTAGACAATTCAAAAAGTATGATTTGATTACATGAACTATCAAGAGCTAAGATTTAGTTTTCCTTTTCCCTCATTGTAGATTCACAGTTAATTTAGGCTTTTACAGACAATTAAGAGACAACAAAGATTGTAATCCTAAAAATCAGCAATTTGTGCTCTAAAATAACCCGTACTCTTTTTCCTAGGAAGGAATTTTTGTACCTTCCTCTGAGCTTCATTGTTCTACTTTCCTGTATAAAATATCAGATTTCTGTAAAAGAAAAATAACAACACGAGGATGAGGGGCAGCAGGAGCAGAGTTTTTAAATTACCTTTATAGTTCATCAGTGATTCCCTGCTGTAAGTAATTTGTCTGTGTTGTTTGCCTTCAGAATCTCAGTTTGTCCCTATTTCCAGAAGCTGTTAATTTAGATGGGGTTTTTTGACTGTATGGGGTTTTACGGGAGAGCATTTTAAGTCTATGCAGTGTCTTGGTGGTCCTGTGTGTTGCACTGGCAGCATGAGGGTGTAAGTGCTGTTCTGTTGGTAAGCACAGTGTTAGTTCACTCATGTTCTATAGCTTTGTTGTGAAAATGGGCATTTAGTCAGAAAAACAGCATTCTGCAAAGCCCATCACAAGAATTGACCAGTTTGGGTCTGGTATAGCCCCCTAGGGTGTTGTGGTCAGACATGAGGATGTCTGTGTACAGTATATGAATTGATTTAGGAAGAGCTAATCACTTCTAATCAGCCAGGAAGAGCAGGTTGTGTCCTCATTTCTGAAGCTGAATAGGTCATTTCAGTCAGCTTCTGCAGTGCATGTCTTATTTTCCCTGGAAGATGGCTCACTGAGGAATTAGCAGCCTGGTGGTGTGCAGTTGCTACATTTCCATTGTTTGTGCTAGCACAGGTATGTGATGGTAAGTGATGATTCCAATTAGGCTTTTCAGTATCCCTGTTTCCTTGGCACAGTTCAGCACCAGCAGCTTCTGGCTCTGTGCCTCCTGCAGCTGATGAGAAACAACCTCCCTCTTTCAGTTTTCTCAGTATTTCAGTGCCACTTTTCAATTGGAACCTCACTATTCTTGTTTTTGACACTTTTATAGTGGTTGTACACAGTAATACAATATACACAGAATGCAGAGACACAACTCAAAGCACAAAGCACAGGAAACCCATCTCTCTGGAGCATGGCAGGGGTGAGTTTTCCTTCCTTGTGGAGGAACTGACTGAAGTTCCATGTGCTGCCTTTTCTGGGCCTGATACAGGCAGCTTCCAGGTAGATCTGAGCAATTATTGCTTTGTTACTTCTGAGCAGAAGCACTGAAATTCCCAAGTTATATGAGCAAAAAGTAAGCAGCTGGACAGATTTTTTTGCTGGTAGGTATCTCATCTCCCTGCTTTCTTTATTCCTAAGAATGGTGCCTCAGCCTATCTGTTTGTCATGTTCTAAGTAACTTCTGCTTTTCTAAACACTGAAAGAAGCACAGTGTGCTCAATTATTGCTGTATGATTGCAGCTGATAGCACTTGTTGGTTTTAGATTGCATTAGGCAATGCCTTCTGATATTATAATAATGAGTCCTTACACAAAGCCCTTTGAGGGGAAAAAACACAACTGTTTATCAGTTTCCATTGTTGTTGTTGTCATCACCATAGCCTGAGTGTAGCAGCAGCCCATCCAAAGGACTGCTACAGTCTTTCTCATGCCAGTTCAGGGTCTCTCGATCTGTTAGTAATTATTTATTCAGTTCTAATTCTTTTAAGAATAGTTGTGCTATACTGTATTGGAGTTGTTTGAAATGCTGGAAAACCTGGATGTGAAACATGAGTCTGTAACTTTTGGTTATTTATCTTTCATTTTCTTTAGGCAGCAATAGCATGTACTCATTCTTTTACTGTCACTTGGTGGTTTTGCACAAAGTATTTTTGAAAGTTTTCCTTTCTCTTAAAAATACATTGTTAGAATGATAGCACATTATGTGTTTCATTCGTGATTATTCCCTAAGGTAGGCCAGCACCTGATGGTGATTCAGTTTGCAAGAAGCAGTGATTTCTTTGAAAGTATTCAAAGATTTTATTTTTTTCATTTTTGCAGAACTCAGAACTTCCTTCTGAATCTGCACAAGTTTACTCAACCAAGGAGCAAAAATCTTGGCCTGTGGGAACTTCCCAGAAGGAGCAGATAGTTGGATATGTACTTTCTGTTACAGACCCAGCTACAAATAATAGCATTCATCTATTCATATTGTTGCACTGCATGTCTGTAGGATACTGAGAAGGAGCCACACAATAAACTTGCATTTCTGCTCAGTGAGAAAATTGACTCTATAGATCAATGTTAGCCAGAGAGTCAGGAGCACAAAGTGGAAAAATGCTACATAAGGATACGGTCTTCCTCCAACAGGCTATTTAAGGGGTCTCTTTAGACTAAGTGCTCCCCTAATTAGGCCTCAGGAAAGGGATCAAAAGCAATCTTGACAGATTCTGACTCACTGTGTTTTCCTTAAGTTTGCAAAGAAATGCAAGAGACCAAAGTCCAAGTCTCCACTATCAGTCCCACCACAATCCCATTTTGTTCATGATGAAATCTAAATTAAAATACCCTTTGGGCAACCATGATGTAGTCTAACAAAACCTCTGCGACATTTAATTCTTCAAAATTGCAACTTTCTTATATTTCCTCAGCCCTATGTCTGTTATATTCACTGCCAGTTTTATTTTTGGCACCTTGGAGCTGTATCTGAGCACCTGTTCTTCAAGCCACCAGGAAAATGACAAAAATAAGGAACACAATTTAAATAAACATAGATTACAATAGTAGTGTGAAAAAGAAGCATTAATAGAATATCTTTAACTATTTTTTGTCTAGAATGCTACAAGTGATAAATTGCTAAATGGAGAAGTGATTCTGGGCAAACACCACAGATGCTTCATTAATGTGGTGCAACTAAAACTTACAGATTGATACTTGACCTCCTGACATCTGAATTACTATAATTTCCATGCCCTGCAGTACATTTTCCTGTACCCAAGTAGCATTTATCATATTTTCTTTTTTTCTTACAATTTTGTTTGGAATTTAAACTTGCGGCTGATGGTGATGATTCACAAAAAGATTTTTTAGTGCATTCTAAAGAAAGTGAAAAAAACAAAAAAAGAAATTGCTTTAGTAGCCAAACTGAAAATTATTTTGATCCATGCTGTGAAAATGTTGTCTTGACCAGGAAAGTCATCTCTGTGTAATGATGGGCTGGCGCCCATGTGAATGCCCTTGCAGGTAAATTTGTTGTCTCTCAAAACAAAATACATATTAGGGTTTTCAATCATGTTCATCAATGCAAGGATCTTTCTTGCCAACCTGTCTGGACCAGTGGGCAGAACACCTGGCTTACAATGCTCCCACAACAGCCTGGCTTTACCAGGGCAAGGGCTACTCTTGTGTTTTCTCCCAAACAAATTTCAGCCTGGAAGTGAGACATTGGTTCAAATACAGCTCTGTCACACCAGCAAAAATGGCCTTCATACATGTGTAATACTGGGCAATATTTAGGCTGAATAGAGAATTTATCCTCAAGAGAAGTAAAAGGAGAAATAAGGGACTATTTAGTGACCAAATTGCTATATTTCTCAGTATTTCCCTGGTATCAGTGCAGGCAATAACTATATCCAAACCTGTCTGTAGAGGACTACAATTTTAGCTGCAAGAAAAAAAAAAATCATATTAAAACTGTAAGTACTGCAAATTGTATGACATTTTTA